TTGCATCCCTGGGGTGAAGATCTAGAGGATCCCCGTCCTCAGCTGGCAGCCGACGGCCCCTCTGTACGCAACACACACGCACGCACGCACGCACGTACGCACGCACCGCGCGCTGCTGCACACAGCTCCCCCCCCCCCGCACACACACACGCGCGCGCGCGCGGCGCGCAGGTACTGCGCCGTCGTCGCCAACTTCTACGCCTTCACCACCGCCGCGGCGGCCGGCGAGCTTGCGCCGCGTACCCCGGATTCGGTGCGGCAGTCTGCCGAGCAGCTGCTCGAGGCTCTGCGCGGCGAGGCGGCGGCGCAGCGGCGCTCTCTCGAGCGCGACGAGGCGCTGCACGGCGACCTCCGTCTCGGCGGCGGCGCAAGGCGCCCCGGAAGGCGGGCCCCCTCTCATCTCGGGAGTGGCTGACGTCTAGGCGCGTGGAGCGAGGAGGCGGCCGCGTGGCACGCCTGCCGCCGCTCGATGGAGGAGAACCTCGGGGTGGTGCGCGACAAGCTCGACTTCTACGCTGGCTACGTCGCAGAGGCCGACCCTGCCATGGTCACCGACTAGCGCGCGTGCGGGTGCTGGGTTGTTTCGCATCGCTGCAAAACGCGAAGCGTTCTCGCGCCAGTCAACCAACGGCAAGAGTCGCGCCAGCGCCAAGAGCCGTATCTCAAAGTGGCGCAAGTCTCGGGTCTCACGGCGCGACGACCTCTCAAAAATATCATTACACGCGCAGCGCGTCCACCCGCCACCCGCACCCCTCGATCCTCCTTCCTCGTCATCCTCGTCCTCGTCCTCCGACTGTCCGCTCCGCCGACGACCTCCCCGTCAGAGCACCCAGAGGCTCAGGGCACAGGGGCGGCGACTCCCCCATCTTACCATCTACAGATGATATGCGCATCCTAGATGCCGGAAACGCCATCTAGGGGCATAGCGGGTGGGGAGGCCCTAAATTACGGCCTAAAACGGCGGGAGGGGGTATGGCTCTAGTATCGGAAATCAAGGAGAGCTAGAGGGCTCAGCCACCCCTCTACCCCTCCGCCCTCTCCAGAAAAAAAATTTGCTTTAATCCAAAATACTCGGCACAGTGCTATCCCCTACCCCCCCCCCCCCCGTCCTCTCCGGACTAGACATGTGCGCTACATTGCCTAGGGGTGGGGTGGTGGGGCCTGTTGGGGCATAATGGCTTGTTGTGATAAATATGAGTTGCGGGTGTGGGTCGCCGGCTCTCGCCAGCCTTCCGCAGGCATCCTAAGTTCAGCAGCCCAGCCTCCTTTGTGCCAGGGATCGCGCGCGGGGCGCAGCACGCCCTGTGTCGTCTGCGCGATCCTAGTCCCTGGTTCACCGAGGCGCCCCCTACAGGGAGTCAGCTCAGCCGCGTTCCTTGTAGTGTGATGCCTTTAAGCCCTTAGGTAGTCGATGTGCCAGCTTGCGAGGCCTGGACAAACTTGATCTCCCGCGCGCGAGCCGTCGCCTCTTCTGTGGTGAGGTGGTCGAGTCCCACTCTCCTTAGGCGGAGATAGACGATATTTCTTTTCCTTGACCTTGCTCAAAGACTGTTCTTCACCTTCCTACCTACCTACCTCAAAGAGAGGTTGTTTGTTTCCCTGTACTCCTAGGTGGTAGACGCAAAGCTAGCGCGGCGGCGGTAGGGGCGGCGCCGGCGGCCACCCTCCGTCCTCGGATGTCGGCGGGCTCCAGACGCAGTCGTCCTCAATGTGGAGTTGAGTTTCAAATTCTGGTGCAACATTCTTTTTGTGGTGTACCTGTGTTAGTGCCAGTGCGCGCCAGTCCCGTGCCCAGTGTTGTGCGAGGCGGACACAAAATTCTTTTTGTGCTCGGCCGTCGCATATGCTGGTCGCGGCGACTGTGCGGCCCACAGCCCACAGGGTAGGCAAGGCTGACGACAGCTGTCTTTGCGCTCTCGTCCTCAGCTCCGTTCCGGCGGCCAATGCTATGCCGACCACGCCACACTGCTCGTCGCAAAGCAGCGAGCGCGTCAAGCTCTCTGAGGGCGCGCGCCGGCTACTCGAGATAGACGACTGGTCGCGCAGTCTCTCGAGCCTCATCCGAATGTCGCGGAGCATCACGGGCGGGCGCCACATCCGGCAGCGCACAGTCGAGCGGTGCGTTGAGCAGGTGCTCTTCGCCACAGACGATCTGCTGCGGGACGCCGCCGCCGTGCTGCCGATGGACGAGGTGCCTGAGGCGCGGCCGCTGGGCTCGTCGCTTGAAGCCTTCTGGCTGCGCCCGCTGCACGACGCCGCGCTCTTCTTGTGCCTCCTCCGGAATCGCGTCGCGCCTCTCCTCCCGCGCGACGTCTGGGAGGGGGTGGTGCTCCACGCGCTCGAGATACCGGCCGACCCGCCCTCCCGGAGCGGACCGGGCGGCCCGCTTGGCGCCGTCTCGACGCACAGGGTATCCTGCCCGTCTCACCGCCTCGTGCGCCGCTTCGGCTTTGACGCCAACGGCGCGCTGCGGGTCTCGCTCGCCGCGCCTCTCGAGCCGCCCGCGCGCCTCGGCGACGACGCCTCCTGGGACTCGCGGGCTCGGCAATCTCTCGGCCATCTCTTGGCCATCTCTCGGCCATCTCTCGGCCATCTCTTGGCCATCTCTCGGCAATTTCTCGGCCATCTCTCGCACGTGTCCCCGCCGCCCCACAGCCACCACTTGCGCCTCCAGCGCGAGAGGACGAAGCGGCGCGACTCAATGGGAGGTGTCTAGGAGGTGACTGGGAGCCTCTCTACGAGGCGGCGCTGCTGGCCGCCCGCCACCTGCTGCCGGAGTACCTGCACAAGAAGGTGTTCCGGCTGGCGAGGGCGGTCGACGAGGTGCGGTCCACGAAGCCGCGAGACACGGGCCTTTTTTTTTGCGGGTCGTTGGATGCATGATCTCCGCGCGCATCCTGAGGCACGCGGAGAGGTTGTTTCTTTTCCGGGCCGCCACCTCGGAGAGGGTTGAAGTGGAGAGAGAAGTGCGCGAGAAAGAAAGAAAGAAAGGAATCACACTCACGGAGTAAATGGGAAAAAAGTCCCGCAAAAAAAGTCCCGCGACCCCGGCCCCTCTCGTAGCCGCAGCCGTAGCCGCAGCCCCAACTCTTGCTGCTCTTCTAGTGTCGGGTAGTGACCAGGGGGTGAGGGGACGGATTGAAGATCCCTCACACCAAGATCGTGCAGGGCGGGGACACATGTCCCTAAATCCCATCTCGTCTCAGAGTTTGACCGTTTTTATTTATTGGACTCGGTTCTTCGGCCTGCGCCGGAGAGTTGGCGGTCGTGCGCTGGGTGGTGATCGTCATCTGTCTGCTCTGCTGTGCTTCTCGCTCGTGCGTCCTTGGACTTGTGCTGACCTCCTTTCACCTCCTGCTCTCCTATGCCACGTGGCTGTGTGTGTTTGGGTTTCTATGTTTGCGATTTGGATTTTGGATTTTCCATTGCACTTTGTTTATTTATTTATTTAAATGGGAAAAAGAAGCGCGGCATTTCTTTTTCTGCTGTTGGCGAGAGGTGGGCTGCTTCCGACTCCACCGCCCCGGCCGTCGCGTCTGCTGCCTTGCGCCGGACGGCTCCCACGCTCGCCCATCTCGATCGCCACGGCGCTCGATGTCGCTCGAGTTCAAAAAGGGATTCCTCTCTCAGCCTGCGTCAAACACGAGCGCTGCCGCTCGCAGCGTCGGCCGCCGGAAGCAGGCGGCTGCGCCCGACGAGGCGTATCTGCCAGCGGAGAGCTACGACCTCCTCGACGACGAGGACGGCGCCGCCGACCCGCTGGTGGCGGAGATCGAGACGTCCGAGGCGGCCTACGAGTACAGCGTCGAGTACTGCCGCGCCCACTGCAACCAGTTCAACCAAGGTCTCATGCGGCTCGACCCGATGGTGAACGTCGCGTTTGCCAACGACCTGCGGGCGGTGCAGTTCAACCGCAAGATGTGGGGGCACCACGACGGGCCCGGCCGCGGCGGCGAGCAGCGGACGATGCTGCTGCCAAGCGGGATCGTCCTCAAGTACCTCGAGTGGGGCAGCGAGCAGGCGCGTCCTAGACACTTCCTAGACAGCTCCTCGACAGCTCCTCGGCCGGTACCTCGAGTGGGGTGCGAGCAGGCGCCTCCGGTCGTGCTGCTCCACGACGTCTGTGACTCGTGCCACATCTGGGATGACGTGGCGCAGCCGCTGGCTGACTCCTTCCGCGTCCTCGCGCTCGACCTGCGAGGGCGCTGACACACTCCAGCCGCTCGCCGCGGCACGAGGACGGCTTTCTGTTCGAAGGGCAGCGGTGTCTTTGTTTAGGCGCGGACACACTCCAGCCGCTCGCCGCGGGCGGCAGTACGATTTCTTTGTTTACCCGCCGCGGTGTTTGTTTAGGCACGGAGACACCAGCCGCTCGCCGCGGCACGAGTACGGCATCGACGCGCTGGTGGAGGACCTGCACGAGATGGCGGTGCGGCTCTCCCTCAACGGGCGCGACTGGGGCGGCGCCTTCACGCGGCCGTGGGTGCCGTGCGGCGAGGGGAGGGGCGGTCCTAGAGAAGAAGTCGGCCGAGCCGTGTCTGTCTGTGTGTTAGGTGCTGTGCGGCAAGGGGATGGGCGGGGCCGTCGCCGTCGCTTACGCGGCGCGCCTCCCCGGCCGCGTGGCGGGGCTCGTTAGTTAGTCCCAACCGGTGAATGATGACTACTCCACAGGCGCGCCACCCCGGCCGCGTGGCGGGCCTCGTGCTCTGGGACTACGACCCCGACATGCCGACCACGCGGCTCTGCTTCTCGCCGCACCAGGCGGGCCACTTCCGCGGGCAGGCAGCCGCTCGCTGCCCTGCTGGCCGTGCGAGGACGTGAGACGAGCGATGAGGCGATGTCGATGGCACCAGGAGCCGCTCGCTGCCCTGCTGGCGGAGCAGCTCGGCTTGCAGCGCGACGCAAAGTACCTCGCCATCACCTTCACCAACCGGTGCGAGCACGCCGACCCGCCTCCTCACCTCGGCGCATCTCGGCGCACCTCGGCGCACCTCGGCGCACCTCGGCGCACCTCGGCGCACCTCAGGTGCGAGCACGTCGACCCGTCGGACGAGAAGGCGGGCTGCCGCTTCAAGGTGCGTTCTTCCTGTCCGGCTCCACACCGCCAACACACCAGCAGCCCTAGCCCCAGCCCTAGCCCCAACCCTAGCCCCAACCCTAGGTGGACCCGCACTTCTTCCTGTCCGATTGGTCGCCCGGACTCGCGTGGACGCAGCTGCGCGCCGTCGCGCCGTCGGCGCGGCTCCTCCTCATCCACAACCAGCAGGGCGTCTCTTCACACCTCCCGCTGTGAACAGGTGCGGCTCCTCCTCGTCCACAACCAGCAGGGCGTCTCTTCACACCTCCCGCTGTGAACAGGTGCGGCTCCTCCTCGTCCACAACCAGTCTTCCCTCGACTGGACCTACGAGCGGGCGGTCGAGGCGCGGCCGCCGCTCGAGCGGCCGGCCGAGGGGTATGAATGGCTCGTGAGGAAGCGCTCACTCTGAGTCCAGGTGCGGTCGGCGCTCGAGCAGCCGGCCGAGGGCGGCGAGCCCGCCGGCGTGCAGCTCGTCGTCGCGTCGCGCGGCAGCGTGCCCGACGAGGAGGAGGCGCTGGTCGAGGACCTCTGGCCGTGACGCCTCCCGCCACCCTTCCTGCAGGCACCGTGCTCGACGAGGAGAAGAACTTGGTCGAAGACCTGCAAAAGCTGTACGGCGGCATCGCGGCGCACGTGCGCGCCGTTTTTCCCGGCGCGCTCGCCGTGTTTCTTCGTCCGGCGGACCTGTTTTTTCTTTTCTGTAGGTGCGCACCTTTGCGTCCGACATCGACCGCGCCGCGCGAGACAAGCTTCGTTCGCAGGTCCCTCTCCCCTCCCCCCTCCCCCCCCGCGCCGCTTCCCCCGCTGCCTCTCTCCTCACCGCCACCGCCGCCTCCCCTTCCCCTCCAGGGCGCCGTGCGGTACGAGCGGATCGCCGAGGAGGAGCTCGAGGCCAAGCAGGCGGAGAAGGAGGCGATCCGGCAGGCAGACCGCTCACCTCGAGATCACCCCTTATCTCCCCATATCTCCCCACATCTCCCCGTGGATCCGGCAGCACTCACCCACGCGCACCGGGCCTTGCACTCTGAGCGCCGTGCCAGCTCCTGTCCTTGGCCGTGGAGTCGCGAGGGTTGCCCGAGCTCTTGCCCCACCACCCTCGTCTGTGTGGAGACGTCCCCTTTGCCCTACCGTAGGCGGCGCGCGAGGCGGCGGGCTTCATGGCCAAGGAGGACCCGGCGCCGCCCTCCTTTGACGAGTTCGACGACTAGGTGCCCCTCTCCGCCCTCCCAACACCTGGCCGGCGCGCGGCTACTCCCTCCGTCACGTTTAGCATGGCGTGCGTCCATGAGATGTAGCTGGGCCACGGCGCGGGCGGCGCGGGGCTCCCTCGGTGCTGTCTCTACGCGCGTGTCAGCCTGTCACTCCCGGCGACGCGATCGCACTCAAAAGTGTGAGACACACACACTCACACACTCACACACTCACCCCCTCCCCACCCCCACCGCAACGACATACGTGTACTCATACACCGTCACCGTTTCAGTTCTAGAATTTGATATATACCCTGAGCCACTCCCGCGAGCGCAAGTCCGCCTGCCTCACGCGGCGTCGGGTCGAGACGCCGCCGCGGCCTCTGCTGCGCGACGCCGAGGCGCCCGAAGGTGGGGCTGACGCCTCAGCAGGCGTCAGCGTCAGCCGCGGGCGTGGTGCCAGATGCGCGCGTCGTGTCCTCCTCTCAGCGGCTCTCTATGAGCGCTGGGCCGCGTCCGCCTCCTTGCTTGCAGCGGCCGCCTTGGCGCACCGTCGCACGCGCAGCCGCTTCCGCGGCGCCGTCTAGACTCCGAGGCCTGCGGCAGCAGGTAGTTCGGGCCGTACTCCGCCACGCCCGCGAGGCGGACCTCGGCCCCGCGCTCACCGTCCGCGCTCGACCGCCGCCTCGACCGGCGGAGCCGGAGGGGGGGGGCTCGACCCCCGTCGTTCGACCCGTCGTTCTGTGACCTCCCGTCGCCAGCGAGCGGGGTCCCTGATCCCCCTGACTCCCCCCCCCCCACCCTTGGTGCTTGGACGCGCCCACCCACCGTCCAAAACTCACGATCCCTAAATACATACACATATTTCATCGCGGCCGAAGGGCGAAGCTCGGCAGATCGTCACACTCTCGCACCTGACCTCGGCTCCTCTGTGGAGGGGAAGGCGAAGCTGAGGGGGCGAAGCCGAAGGGCGGGAAGCGTCTTCTTCTAGGAGCGTGCTGGCTGCTGCCGTCGCTCCGTCTGGCCCCCTTTTTCTCAGTTTTCTAGAATTTGATATATGTTTGTGTGAGATTTTATTTCATCGCGGCCGAAGCGGCAGATCGTCACAACTTGCAAGTCGTGGCCGAGGCGGCGACGGGAGCGGTGCAGAGGTGGATCCAGCTCAATGATGAGGCTACGGCGCGCATAATGAAGAGAGAGGAACACATCGAGTGGCTGAGGAAGCTCTTCGCTGGGTGGAAGGAGGCCCGGCCAGCCTTGAGGGAGTCGCGGAGGAGGAGGGATAATGGAGGTAACGTGGGAACAGGCCAACAGCCAGTGGGACGAACGAGGGCCGCGACGGCGGCTCAAGCGGGAGGGAGCGGAGACGGTGGGCAGAGAGCGAAGTGGGTGAGACTGATGATGCTCCTTCGACTTAGGGAGCGGTTCAGATGCTGGGCGGGCTTCAGGCTGGTGCTCACGCGAACAGGAATCGACGCGATGTGCAAAGCATACAAGAAGGGGAGAGGGAAGAGGAGAGACGCCGGTGAGGACGAAGCAGAAACTAGCGCAGACGAGAGCAGGGCAGACCCGGGGACTGGGGAGCCGGAGCAGACGGCATCGGCCGCCGAGGAAACGTTGGGAAGAGGCACGAGGAGGGCGGCGACTTCGACCGACTATGGAGGACCCGTCGCCAGACGACGCAGGGCAGAAGACGGTGAGGCGGAGCAGACGCGCAGGGTGAGACGAGGGAGGGAGCAGGACTTTGCGGAGATCAGCAGGAGGATGTACGAAGAGATTAGGAGCAGCAGGGACCCGAGGGACCATGTGGAAGACGGCTAGTGCTAGTCCCCCATCGGGAGGACGACCCCGGCTAGTCGCCGACCACACCCACAAAGAACCCTGCACAAAGATCGCAAGGGCGGGGGCCTGTTCCTTTTTACCCATCTCACAGTAGAGAGGTGTCCGTTTTTATTTATTTTAGATCGTCACACTCTCGCACCTCCTCTGGAGGGGAAGGGGGAAGGGTCTGGTGCTGCGAGGAGCGTGCTGCTCTCGGAGGGGGAGCGGCCCCGCTCGGCCTCTTCGTCGTGCTGGAGCAGCACCGCGTTGTGCGCGCCAAAGTAGAGGTAGAATGCGATGCAGACCACAGCGGCCCCTAAAAAAGAAATGCAAGGCGTCAGAAGGGCGGGGCGGGGTGGAGGTAGAAGGCGAACGCGGCGCCGAGCAGGAAGGCGCGCGACGGCACGAAGCCGAATGCGACGGAGGAGGCGACCGAGGCGAGCAGCACGGAGGCAGAGGTGGAGAAGCCCTTGGTCAGGTTGTCTGCGTACTTGAGCACGGCGGAGACGCAGAGCCCGACGGCCGCATTGTTAAGGACGATCAGGCCGCCTGATCGCGGCCAAAGGCGTGTGGAGTCGCTGGAGGTGTGAAGAGTTGTTGAGCACGGACGAGGCCGCCCAGCGGGGCGGTGAAGAGCGTATGCTGCATCGAGGCGGCCCAGCTGGCGGCCGAGTCGGAGCGAGACAGCTGCGAGCGAGGCAAAGAGGAGGGTAGGGAGGAGAGGTGGGAGGAGGGTGGGAGGAGGGCCTCGGAAGGGTCTCGGAAGGGTCTCGGAAGGGTCTCGGAAGGGCCTCGGAAGGGTCTCGGAAGGGTCTCGGAAGGGTCTCGGAAGGGTCCGGCCACCGAGTAGGCCGCCGCAGTCAGCACGCCCCACGAGTAGATCTGCATGTTCTTAAACATGAGCGGCGCGCGCGGGTCCTGCACCTTGATCAGCCACTCGTTGAGCACGGACGAGAGGGCAGAGAGGCACCCGTTGCCTACCGCAGGATGAAGAGGCAACACTCTTGGTTTGCGGTGCGTCGTGCACACGCCACGTCAGTGTACGGTCTAATGCAGCAGACTCGGAGCATCGCCGCGAACGCGAGGGGTGGGACTACGGCGACTGCCGTGGAGTTGCGTGGCGTGCGTCTCTCCCCATGCCCTTCAGGGCGGCTTTGTCTTCTGCGTCTAGGAGCCGCTGCCGAGCAGCACGGAGATGCCGAGGGCGACAGACGCGGCCGCCTGGTGGGGAGAGGGTAGGGAGAGATGTCTGGGGAGATGCAGGGGTGGTAGTCACCGCGTACGGAGTGCCACTCTTGCCACTCTGACTGTCTGTTGGATTGTTCTCTGTTGTCGCCTTGGTGCCAGCGCCGGAGTCCTGCTTAGTGGTCGTGACGCCCATGCCGAGCGAGAGGAGGAGGAGGGAGACCCACTGCACCGAGGAGCGCCGCTGTCCGAGCATCAGCCGCGCGAGCACACCCACCGGGATGATCTTGAAGCACGCCCAGAGCTGGAAGGTCGGCGGGTCGAGCAGAGAGAGCGCGAGGAAGACGAGGTTATTCTGTACGATGAAGAAGGTGGCGGGCACGGCGTACGCGGCCGTCGGCCACGAGACCAGCTGGAAGCTCTCGAGACCCGTGTAGTTGAGTGACTTGCGCTGCCACAGCCATGTGCAGAGCGCAATGCCGAGTTTTAGAGCCTCAGTCAGCAGCACGGCCGCGCTCGTGTCGTATGGGATCTTGCCGCCGCCGCGCGCCTTGGCGGCCTCGACGAGCAGCGACTGCGACGTCGCGAGCACCGTCAGGGCCACGCACGCAAGCGCAGACGTCACGGCAGAAGCCATTTCGGATGCCGGCGGCGCGGGCACCAGAGCTGCCCCTCGCCCGTAGACGACAGCAGAGTGGCGCCAGAAGTCGGGTTTGGCTTTCTCTGGCCGTTGTAAAATTCTTCGAGTAAGCGGGTAACTCACTAATCCTCCACCGACTTTCGACAGTGCTGGCAAACCGCATCGCGCAGCCGCACGGAGTCTCCGACAACCACGCACAGCCTGAGGGCCCAACAGGAGAATCGTGCTTTTTGGGTTGGGTTGGGTTGTTGGGTTGGGTTGGGTTCGTGAGGTTGGAGAGAGAGAGAATTCTTGATACGAAACCACGACGACACACACCAGTCGACTCGCATCGGTTGCCTCCATGAACGGCGGAGCTATTCTCGCGCCCACACCACACCTGGCTCCAACGTGGACACGCCCATAGCTGGGGACACTACTAGGTCACGCATGGCATCACAGAAGTTTTATCTCTCTCTCTCTCTCTCTCTCTCGTGAGGTTGGGTCGTCGGCGCGAAGGGTGAGGTCTCGACCGCCGCCGCTCACGCCAGCGGACGGCCACTGCCGGTGTTTTTGGCTTCGCCACCGTCCAAAGCGTGCGCCATGCGCTCGCCGACATCGACGAGCGAGCACGCCTGTCCGACGTGCGACGAGCGGCTTGCTGTGCGGACGCCTTCTTGTGGCTCTCGTCGAGAGCGTTTTGCGTCCCGGCGGGTGGGAGAATATGTGATAGGAACGAGTGTATCGCTTTGACGGATCGACCGTGCTTGCTAAAAACTGATGTGACGCACACAGTGACACATCAGACGACACACATTCTCCTGTTGAGGCGGCCCACTGAGGAAAGGCGTGCAACACATCACAGCGCCTCCCAGCGAACACACACGCTGCAGCCGACGGAGTTTCTTGAGAGGCCGACGGAGTTTGACGTTTCGGAGTAGTCGCGGTTGGCGGCGTCGGGGGAGCGGAGCGCCTCGACGAGGGCGGCGGCCACGGCTCCGCGGTGGCTGTCATCCCGCCTCGAGCGCCCCGATCGCCTCCGTCACCGCGGCCACGAGCCGCGACGCCTCCCCCTCGCTGCGCGGCCCGTCCCTCCTCCACCTCGCCGCGTCGTGGTGCCTCGCCGCGTTTGCCCAGATGCGCAGCGAGTGCAGCTGGCTCCGAAGTTCGGTCGGCAAGCCGCACTCGCGGTGCCAAAAGTTGATGCGCTCCTCGAAGCCGTCGGGCGCCGCCGCAGCGCGCGAGGCATAGACGCTGTCGAGGCGCGGCATCAGCGTGTTGAAGGCGAGCAGCATGTTGCCCTGGATGCGCGCCTGCGCGTCGCCGGACGTGCGCATGCCGCGCACCTGCACCGAGAGCAGCGAAGGCTCGTAGCCGGTGGTGCTAACGGCTGCGGTGGCGGCCTCGTCTCCAAGTGCCGGTGCAGCCTCCTCAGCCCCCGCACCGCTAGACAGCAGCGCCCGCAACGTCGTGAGCGCCCCGGGCAGCGTGCAGCGGTTGCGCAGGCTGTTGTGGCAGAGGCTCTTCTGCCCGTCCCCCGCCTGCGCAAGGTCCTTGACCGCGCGCGCAGCAGTTGCGGTCCACCCCGCCGCCGCGTCTGCGATCTGGGACGCGTCGATGTTGGTCCAGAGTTCGTCAAACTCCTCCTCGCACCGGTCGGTCAGCTGCACCTCGGACCGGTTGGTTAGGCAGACGAGGAGGGTGATGCCGACCGCGTAGCCGTCGGTCTTTGGCGAGTACTCGCCCCCCTTGGAGATGGAGGGGCAGAGGTAGCCCGTGGACATGTAAAGGGCGGTCGAGCGGCAGCGGACAGACGCGTCGGGACGCTGGTCCTTGGCGAAACCAGTGTCGGCGAGGACGGCGGTGAGCTTCTCGTCGAGCAGGATGTTGTCCGGCTTGACGTCGCGGTGCACGATGCCCTTCGAGTGGAGGTAGACGAGCGCCTCGGTCGCCTCACACGCAATGCAAACGCGCTGTCGCCACGTCAGCGGCCTCGGCGCCTCCGCCATCCCCAGCCGCCGGAGCTGCGCCGCTCGGTCGGGATTCGAGATGCACAGCCGCGCCTCGAGCGAGCCGCCGCGCATCAGCGGCGAGAGGAGGCAGACGCCGTCGGGCGAGAGGCAGTAGCCGAGCAGCGGCAGCAGGTGCGGGTGGCTCACCGCCTTAAGAAGCTTCACCTCGAGCTCCGCCCGTGACAAGCCGCCCGACTGGCCCGACTTTGCCCGCTTCACGACAAGCGGCAGGTGGCGCAGCTGCGGCGGCGCGGAGAGGGAGAGGTGGAGGTCGGCCGACGCCTCGTAGACGCGGCTGAATCCGCCGCTGCCGATCAGCTTGCCATCGGCAAACCCGTCCGTAGCCGCGGCGAGGTCCGACAAGTTGACCTCGATGGGCGGAGCGGTAGTGCTGCTCTCGGCGGCGACAGACAGAGTTTCCAGCTTCGACTCCGCCGCGCTAACCTCCTCGCTCAGCGCCGGCAGCACGCCCACGTGCGCCTTGGCGGCAGCGATGCCTGCTCGGAGCGCGGAGGGGCTGTCCGCTGTGTCGAGCGACTTGAGCGCGCCCATCGCCGCGCCATGCGCCTTGCGCAAGCGCTGGCTGTCCCGCCTTCGCGCCTCCTTGAGCTTGTCGCGCGCACGCTTTGCCGCCACCAGCACGGCCGGGCTCGCGACGCCGCTGCACGCCTCCAGCGCACTCGCCACGCCCTCGTACACGCCAGCGGTCACAGCCTGCTGCAGAGCCTCGTCCGCCGCGGCGATGGCGGCTGCGTCGGCCGGCAGGGGCGGCGCGGCTGGAGGAAGGTGTGTCGGCGCCGAGGCGGCGGTGCCGCTGGGGCCCGGAGCCGAGACGACGGCCTCGCCGCTGCCGCTCTTCTTCTTCTTCTTCTTCCCTTTCTTGCTCTCCTTGACGCGCCCCGCCTCCTTCTCCGCCTCCTCCTCCGCCAGCAGCGCCTCGGCATGCCGCGCCGCCTCCGCCTCTGCCGCCGCACTCTCCACCGCCCTCGCCGCTGCCTCCGCCGCCTCCTTCGCCGCTGACTGCGCCGCCGCGTGCTCCTCGAGGGCGCGCACGCACTCGCTGTGGCCCCTCTCTTCGGCCAGCTGCAGCGCCGTCCTGCCGCTCGCATTGAACGCCGTCGTATCGGCGCCCGCCCGCAGCAGGTGGCGCACAATGGCGGGGTGGCCTTCGCCGGCGGCAAACGTCAGCGCGGTGTTGCCAGTGCTGTTCTGCGGGCCGACCTCCGCGCCGCGCTGCAGCAGCAAGTCAACCACCCGCTCGTGGCCGTTGTAGGCGGCGAGCATCAGTGCGGTGTCGCCGTCGCTATCCTGCAAGTTAGCACCCGCGCCGCGCTGAAGCAGCAGCTCGACCACCCGCTCGTGACCATGGCCAGCGGCGTCCGTCAGCGCGGTGCTGCCGTAGCTGTTCTGAAGGTTGATCTCCGCGCCGCGCGGAAGCAGCAGCTCGACCACCCGCTCGTGGCCGTTGGCGGCGGCGTGCATCAGCGCGGTGTCGCCATTGCTGTCCTGCGGGTTGACCTCCGCGCCGCGCTGATGCAGCAAATCGACCACCCGCTCGTGGCCTTTGCCGGCGGCGATCATCAGCGCGGTGCTGCCATTGCTGTCCTGCAGGTCGATCTCCGCGCCTCGCTGCAGCAGTATGTCGACCACCCGCTCGTGGCCGTTGTTGGCGGCGAGCATCAGCGCGGTGACGCCGCTCACATCGCCCGCCCGGCAAGTCGCATTGACCCGCCCGTCGCTGTCGAGCCACGCCAGCACCGCCGCCTCTTCGCCTTTCGCAGCCGCGTCCATCGCCTCTTTGGGAAGGCTGCCCAGTGAGCCGGAAGAGGCTGTGGCCCCCGTTCCCGCCGCCGCTTCGCCCGAGATAGCGCCGCCCGCGCCGCCCGCCGCCGCCTCGCGCCGGCTCGCAGTCACCTCCGCGATGTGCTGCCGGAAGGCCTTGACGCACTCGCTGTGGCCCTGCTCCCTGGCGTACTGCAGTGCGGATTTGCCGTCCTCAGTGCGCAACTTTGTATCCGCGCCCGCCCGCAGCAGGCGGAGCACGATGGCGGGGTGGCCTTTGACGGCGGCAACCATCAGTGCGGTGCCGCCGTAGCTGTTCTGCTTGTTGATCTCCGCGCCGCGCTGAAGCAACAGCTCGACCACCCGCTCGTGGCCTTGGTCGGCGGCGAGCATCAGCGCGGTGCCGCCGTCGCTCTTCTGCAGGTTGACCTGCGCGCCGTGCTGCAGCAACAAGTCGACCACTCGCTCGTGGCCGCTGCCGGCGGCGATCATCAGCGCGGTGATGCCGCTCACATCGCCTACCACGCACGTCGCATTGACCCGCCCGCCGCTGTCGAGCCACGTCAGCATTTCCGCCTCTTCACCTTGGAGAGCTGCATCCATGGCCTCGTTGGGAAGGCTGCCAAGCGAGCTGGAAGAGGCCGCAACCCCCGCTCCCGCCGCCGCCACGACCGAGGAAGCGCCGCCCTCGCCGTCCGCCGCAGCCTCACGGTGGCTCGCAGTCACCTCCGCGATGTGCTGCCGGAAGGCCTCGACGCACTCGGCGTGGCCCTCCTCCTTGGCCATCTGCAGCGCGGACTTGCCATGCTCAGAGCGCAGATTTGTATCCACGCCCGCCCGCAGCAGGAGGCGCACGGTGGCGTGGTGGCCTTGGCCGGCGGCGTACATCAGCGCGGTGCCGCCGTAGCTGTTCTGCAGGTTGACCTCAGCGCTGCGCTGAAGCAGCAGCTCGATCACCCGCTCGTGGCCCTCCTGGGCAGCGAGCATCAGCGCGGTCCAGCCGTAGCTGTTCTGCAGGTTGGCATCCGCGCCGCGCTGAAGCAGCAAGTCGACCACTCGCTCGTGGCCGTTGGAGGCGGCGATAGCCAGTGCGGTGACGCCTTTGCTGTCCTGCTGGTCGATCTCCGCGCCGCGCGGAAGCAGCAGCTCGACCACCCGCTCGTGGCCGTTGAAGGCGGCGCCCATCAGCGCGGTGACGCCGGTGCCGTCGTGCTGGCTGACTTCAGCGCCGCACTGAAGCAGCGACTCGACCACTCGCTCGTGGCCTGCGAGGGCGGCGCGCATCAGCGCGGTGGCGCCGTCGCTGTTCTGCGTGTTGATCTCCGCGCCGCCTCGCAGCAGCAACTCGACCACCCGCTCGTGGGCGTTGCCGGCGGCGATGTGCAGCAGCGTGTCACCAGCTGCGTTGGCCGCGTTCACGTCGGCCACGTCGCTGCTGAGCCACGCCCGCAGCACTCCTACTTTGCCGGTCGCCGCCGCCTTCACGACGTTGGCCGGCGCCTTCACGTTGTGCGGCATGTGAGTTTAGACTTCTTAACATAGACGCCGTTTCTTTTTTCGCGAGGTGGCAGCAGGCTTACATGAGAAAAACTGGTTTCTTATTTCTCTGGCCCAGCCTAGGCCGCAGCGCCGCCTGGCGCGACCGGGCAGCGTGCGCCTCTCCCCTGTCGCGCCTCTCCGCTACCATGGAGGCCAACCGCGAGTCCGCGATTGACGCGCTCACCAAGGCCCGCGCGGGACGCGGGCGACCACGCGAGCGCCGTCCGCCTCGCGGAGAAGAGCCTGCGGATCTGCAAGACGGAAGAGGCGCAGGCGTTCCTCGACTTTGGTGAGGCGGAGCAGACGCGCAGGGCGAGACGAGGGAGGGAGCAGGACGTTGCGGAAATCAGCAGGAGGATGTACGAAAAGACCAGCCGCAGGCAGGGAGGACCCGAAGGACCCCCCCCCCCGAGAGACCTCCCCCCCCCCCCCCAAGTGCCGGAACCTAAGAGGATGGTTTGTGCTGGTTCCGGGAGCTGTCCCCACACGGCCGTGCTAGCGGCTGAGCGAGGCGAGGAGGAGGCGGTGCTGGCGTGGCTTGACGGCGGCGGGCGGGCCGACGCGACGTACGAGCAAGGCGGCGTTAGCGGCCTCACGTTGCTGAGATGACCGCCGCCCGCAGTGGCCAGGAGCGGCTGGTCGAGCTGCTGATTCGGCACGGCGCGGAGATCAACCTGCAGACCAGCGACGGCGAAACCACGCTGATGGCCGCCGCCAACAACGGCCACGAGCGGGTGGTCGATTTGCTGATACGGCGCGGCGCGAACGTCAACGTGCAGGACAGCGATGGCCTCACCGCGCTGATGTGCGCCGCCAGCAACGGCTGCGAGCAGGTGGTCGAGCTGCTGTCTCGGCACGGCGCTGAGGTTGACTTGCAGAGCAGCAACGGCCACACCGCGCTGATGTTCGCCGCCGACTACGGCCACGAGCGGGTGAGCGAGTTGCTGCTACGGCACGGCGCTGAGGTCAACCTGCAGAGGAGCGACGGCAGCACCGCGCTGATGCGCGCCGCCTACAACGGCCACGAGCGGGTGGTCGACTTGCTGATACGGTACGGCGCTGAGGTCAACCCGCAGGACAGCGACGGCGACACCCCGCTGATGCTCGCCGCCTACATCGGCTGCCCCGCCTCCGTGCTCCGCCTGCTTCGGGCTGGCGCAGATGCAAAGGCTCGCTCTGCAGACGGCATGACGGCGCTGCAGATCGCCAAGGAGGAGGCGGCCAAGGTGCTAGCTACTGCCGACGCCGCCAGTGCTCCTGAAACGGACCACGCCGGGTGCGTGCGCGCTCTCACAGAGCACGCAGCGGCGCTGAGGGAGGCGGAGGCGGCCGAGAAGGCGGCCGAGAAGGCGCTCGAGGCCAAGGGGCGGCGCGAGCAGCGCGAGCGGGAGGCGGCGGCGGCGGCGCGAGAGCGCGAGCAGGCGGCACGCAGGCGCGAGGCAGAGCGAGTGGCGGACGAGGCGCGCCGGGCGGCGGACGCGGCGGCGCTGGAGGAGCAGAGGCGAGCCATTGCGGCGGAGGCGGAGGCGAAGCTAGCCGCTGAGCGCGCGGCAGCAGAGGAGGTGCTGCGGGCGAGGGAGGCGGAGAGGCGAGCAGCAGAGGAGGCGCAGCGAGAGGAGCAGCGGGCGGCCGCGGCGGCGCGCAAAGCCGCTCAGGCAGAGGCGGCGCGGCGCGAGAAGGAGGCTGCGGACAGGAGGGCGGAGGAGGAGAAGGCGAGGCGGCGCGCAAAGGCGGCGGAGGCAACGGCGGCCAAGAAGGAGGCCAAGGCGAAGAAGAAGGAGGCCAAGAGGGCGCCGTCTGCCTTAACGCTCGAGGAGGAGCGGAGGGCGCGGGCTGCGGCAGAGGTTCGCGCACAGGAGGAGAGGGCGGCGCAGCTGGCTGCTGAGCAGGAGTCGGCGAGGCGGGCGGAGCGGGAGGCAGCAGAGCTAGCGGGTGCGGCGGAGCGGGCGGCGCTGCGCGAGGATGCGGAGCTGGCAGAGGCGCTGCGCCGGTCAGAGGCGGATGCGGAGGAGGCGCTGGCGCGTCGGGTGTCGCGGTGCGAGGAGGCGGTGAGCAGCGAGTCGACCGGCGGCGGCGGGGACTTGCCGCGGCGTGTCGAGCGGCTGGAGGCGAGCATCGGCGCGGCGACCGAGGGCAGCCTCGAGGAGCGGGTCGGCGCCATCGAGCGCTTGATCGGGTCAGAGGCAGGAGAGGCGGTACAGGCAGCAGAGAGGGCACAGGTGGCAGCGGAGCGCCTTGTACCAGTCACTAAGGCGTTTGCAACCGTCTCTCTGCAGGACGCAGCTCAGCCCCCTGAGCCGGCGTCAGAGAGCGACGTCCCGCCCGAGCTGCAGTGCCCGCTCTCCTTCGAGGTCATGACGGACCCGGTGATGAACGCGGCTGGCCAAACCTACGAGCGGGCGGCCATCGAGAAGTGGTTCGCGAGGGGCAAGCGCACCGACCCGATGAGCGGCGCGGTGCTAGAGCACACGCGCCTAGTGCCGAACGTGCTCGTGCGCGGAATGTGCCGCAAGTACGCCGCTGCGTGAAGGGAGGGGGCTCGCCGGACGGGGGGAGGGGGTTGCGGCTGGTGCTGACGATGTCGTGCGAAGAAAAGGAATTCGCGTGGACTCCGGACACCGGAGTAGGAGCCGATGCGCGAGACCGCCGGGGCGCGGGGGCCGCTAAGTGGGCACCCTCTCTTGATTTTGCCGCGCGCGCGATACAACTCAGACCTACGGCTCTACACACTCTAAAAGGTAAGCATAGACGTACAGTCGGTCGACGGGCGAGGACCCGAGGCTCGCACCCAGCACACGCGACAGGCGACACGGGGGCGCGGGTCGTGTCTCACACACTCACCTGCCCCAGGTGGCACACCGCTCCGCCGAGAGCACGAAAGCAGGCGGCACCTGAGGCACCTTCGGGAGCTTCTCGAGTCCGAGCTGCCTGATGCTCGACAGCACCACCTTGAGCTTTGGCGCGTGCTCCGCGATGGTGTCGCCCGAGTACGGGGTCAGAGGGGTCAGCCATTTGCCCTCGCACATCTCGAACACGCCGCAAGCGTAAAAGTCCACGTACGTCGGCTCCGCGCCGAAGTAGTACGGGCCTTTGATGCTCCGATTGATGGCGCACAAGATTTTGAGAAAGCGTCCTCCCGTGATGAGCTCCTTGAGCTCAGCCACATCGTCGGCAGCGGAGCCCGAGGGGTTTGCCGCTCGGTTCAGCTCGGTGTGCAGATCGTTTAGGTCTTCCATGTACTGAATCGCGACCTCAGGAACGTCGATGCCGGCGTCGTAGCCCAGTTTGCGCCCAAGGTAGAGGTGGCATGGCACGCTCTGCGAGATCGTGAGTTCACCGTCAACCAGGATGGGCGGCGCGAGGTTGGTGGTCTCGGCGCCGAAGAGGGCGCAGCCAAACTGGTTCATGTCGTTGATGACTTCAAAATCTTGGCCTTTCTCGGCCATCATGCGGTACAGGCCAGAGCCGCGGGCCAAGATGGGCCAGTACTTGATCGTGATCGTCGTCATGTAGCAAGAGCCGCCCCGCCCTACCAGGTAAGCAAAACCCTCGCAAAAAATCTCTCTCTCGCACAACACTGGGCACGGGACTGGCTCGCACTGGCACTAACACAGGTACACCACGGGAGCCGCCTAAGCGACTCCTGCGAGGGCGGCGAGGCACTTAGCTCCGTGCACCCGCCCGCGCCCCCGCCATAGGCAAGCTCATTCACGACCTGCTCTGCGATTGCCGAGAGAGAGAGAGAGATTTTTAGCAATACCAAACAACTCTAACACTCACACGTCATTTGGGGCCTGGAGCCCTGTTCACGCGCGCGCGAGACGTGCAGACAGGGTTGCCAGGTGAGAGCGAATGGCGCGGTTCACGCCTCGCACAACAGAGAGAGAGATGCGCTCTGCATGGTGGGACATAAAAGAAAGCGAGTACTTGTCGATTGCCGTGTGAAGAACGACTGAGATACGCTGCTTCTTTCTGCAGCCCCAACAATTCTTAGTGGTCCAAGTCACCTCATCGACGTACTGGGCCCGCGTCAGCTTGTTCTGTAGCACGTCCGCCGCCTTCCGGAGGATCTCACGGACCCCCTTTCCGAACCCGCCGAACGATTCGAACAGCAGCAGCTGCACTTCAACGCCCTTGTCTTCCCTGGCATAGCGATAGTCCCCGCCGTAGGACGGTATGCGGCGGTCGCCGCCCACCACCCTGCCCCCCCTGGTATGCCAGCGCCCGGTCCCTTGCCCTCTCTCGCCCTTGCTCTTCCTCGTTTAGTTGAAGAAAACTCTATGCGGCGTCTTCAAGTAGGAATCCTAAGCGGGTAACTCACTGATCCTCCACCGGATCCGACTTTCGACAGTGCTGGCAAACCGCATCGCGCAGCCGCACGGAGTCTCCGACAACCACGCACAGCCTCACGCTCACTGTGTTTCCTCCCCTCTCCGTCCCTCCGCCTCTCCCCACCGCGAGTCACCGCTCCGACTTTCACGTTGTAGGACCTCGGACAAGAGATCACGGCCGACTCCTTCCTCGCGCCAGGCGACATGGACCTTCTCAAGCTGCGCCAGGCCCTCCAGTGCCACTTGGGGAATGCCGTCCTCAAACGCGTGCTGCCAGAGCGCAGAGGCGCTCGACGAGACGAAGGTGACCACGCCCCGGGCGCTGGCCGAGTACCTGCGGCTCCCGGAGGTATCGTGTGCGCCTCGCGTGCCTTCGGCCGAGCAGGGGCGGCAGATGCGCGAGCTCGTCGAGGTGCGAGCGAAGCTCGTCGACTTTGAGTCTATCCTAGCGCGTGTGGACACAACTCTCCAGGCTTTGGGTGAGGGGGACGCCGACCGCGCCGAGCGAGAGAAGGTCGAGCCGCTGCAGCACCGGCGACGCGAGGCTCATGAGCTGCCGTTGCCAGGCCAGCAGCGTGGGCAGCTCATCACTCGTTGGCGGGCGGCCGATGGAGCCCAGCATTGCAGACCGATGGAGCCCAGCATTGCTGTACGAGAAGGTGGTTATCCGGAAGGGCACCCGTCTCGCGCTGCAGCCAATAGATGCCAGCCTCATCCGGCAGTGTACTGAGATCCAGATCAAGAGCAACGTCCCCATCTGGGGTTGGCAGTGCCATGGCGCTTGGGCTTGTGAGTGCGAGCCCGTCGAGCGCTCGCCGAACGTGCGCTGCACTTTACGATTTTCGAAAATGACAGATGCGAGATCACTCCAAGCGAGATCACTCGAGATCACACACAGGTAAATCACGGCTACGTCGCTCAGAGGTAGAGGTAAAGGGCCCACGGCTGCCCAGAGGTAAAGGTAAGAGGGCCGTAGGCCCTCAGAGGTAGAGGTAACCCAGACCCCTCCTACTCCGGCGGCCTCAGGCGTCAGGGCCGAGCAACCGGTGTGCGCACCCTGTGCCGATGTGCAGCGAGGCGGACAGGCGAAGATTCCAAGTAGTCGGAAGGCCGCGACCGTCAAGTGTTCCCCGGCGAAGATACAATCGCTGTGAACTCAACCACGTACACCCCGTTTAAAGCCGCGTACATCTGGCATGACCTATCTCAGTTCTCACGGGTGGTGCGGAGCTCGCGGAGCCCCCAGCAAGAACAACTTGTGCAAGACCACGGGACATTGGGCTCCACTCTCCCAAAAAAGTCCTCCCGCCTTCCTCCCACAATAACCACGATCCGTGCGCCGGCGCCAACAGCAGTACTGTACTTGGATGCTGTCCTTGCGCGCGGCTAGTCGGCATCCGCCTTGGCCCTCGCGGCGGCCGCTGACGCGCGCCTCGCCTTGACGGCAGCCAGTGCCGCCTCCGCCGCCTCTGCCGCCGCAGCCGCAGCCGCCGCAGCCGCCGCCGCCGCGGCGGCGGCCGCCTCCTCCTCTGCCGCTGCCAGAGCGTCCGCCTCGGCTTCCGCCTCCCGGCGCGCCTCCGCTGCCACGAGGCAGTCGACGGCTGCTGCCGCATGAGCAGCAGTAGCCACAGCTTGGTACGCGCAGAGCGCGACATGGATTTCGTCGCCTGCGAGTTACGTCGCCTGCGAGTTCGTCTCTGGCGTGCTGTCTGTCGTCCGTCCTCTGCGCCTCTGTGTCTTCTTCTTGGTGAGAGTGATCTGTGATCTGGTGAGAGTGATTAAATTCTTCTTCTTGTAGTGCCGGTGCCGTACCCGGTGTCGTGCGAGAGAGTTTTGTTGTAACATTCTTCTTCTTCTGATGCGTCAAATTCTTCTTCGAGGGTGCAGCTTGACACCCTTGTGTTGAGCACCGGTGACTGTGGGAATGGGGGAAGCAGAGTTCAGTCGAGGGAGTGATGATCTCCCTCACATCCTCAACGGGCGTCCAATTGCAATCGGATTTACTACGGCGGTGGTTCAAGGTAATTAATCCGCAATTGGACGTGCCCGTCCATTCATTGTTCTCGCCGTTCTTCGGCGGGGGGCCGCGTCAGGGCGGGGGCGCAGGCGCGTGCCCCGCCCGGCGCGCAGGCGCCAAGTGCGGTGCGGAGTGTGCGTGTATTTGACTGCAAATTCAACTCGCTCAAAAAAAGAAAGAGACCTGTATACAGCGCTCCAAGAGCTGCTAATTCCGAACGCCGACCGACGACTGCTTCGAAAAGCCCCGCGCACTTCGCGGCATCCAGCAGGACGTTTGCTAGCGGGAGCGCACCTCCTTCGAATTTGCTCGTCTCAATTTCCACGCCACGTATCACCAATCACGACAGCCAACCACCAAAAGACTGCCCTACGACGCCCCGCACCATGCTGCACGCTAGACACCCATCCCGCCCTTCGTCACGGCCTGTGTGTGTAAGCCGCTCCACACGATACGCTCCTGAGGTACATTGACACACAGGAGGCGCGATCGGACCCCTCGCATCGCATTTCGCCCTCTGCTCGATTCTCCGTGCCCGCTACACATTCCCCATAGGTGACGACAGCAGAGATCAACGCTCTGAAGCAGCAGGAGATCTGGTTGTCCAAGGCGTCACGAATGGGGCAGTCCGATTTCGTACGCCAGGTGCGCGCGGGGTGCACTAGTCTTACCTCGCGGGGTACCGACCCAGCAGCCCCACTTCTGCCCTCAGGTTGTGGCGGCCGGCGTTTGCCACAACTGGGATCCGTGCACACCACTCCGGCCTTGGAGGGGGCAGAGGCGCGGCAGGTGCGCAACTTTGAGAGGCCGATCACCAAGGAGAGGTGGGTGACGTCTGACGACGGAGCCATTCTACCTGTCTGTCCCGTCGGACAAGGTTGTGCCGACCACAGGGCAGTGGGTCAAGGTCAAGTCGAAGCTGCAAGCGGCGGCCAAGCTCGCCGCCAGCTCCACCGCGCTCAAGTCGGGTTCTCGCTAGAGAGCCCTATAGCCCCGGGCCCTTGGAGCACTTGGAGTGCAGTCGGCAGCCTCACATCCAGGGCCGGGGAGCTCAGAAGCGCACCCAGCGGGCCGGATGATCGGGATCGGGCTACGGGCTAGAGAGCCCTGACCCCTAGCTAGGGGGGGTGCGCATTCGCAGGGCAAGGGCCTTAAGGTAAACACGGGTCTCCGAGGGTTAGCTCCGCGCTCCAGGTTTCCCCTATGGGCCGCATCGCTTTATTTATTTGCCCCCCAAAAGCGTCGGCCTGGTCGTGCGCCCCCCCCTCGTTGGTTGTCGTCGCCGTCGCTCCTAGTCTAGCTTCAGGTCGATGCTCTTGGTCCTGCTGCAAGCCGCTCCCAGCCTCTTGGCCGCCGTGTCCCTCCGCCCATCGCGGCCGCCGCCCGCCCGCTTCGCCGTCCCGTGCCTCTCCGACCGTGACTCGCTTCTTGCCAGAAAGCCGCCGGAGATTGTGTACGCCGCCAACGCCGCCACCAAGTGGCTGGTAGTCGCCGCTCAGACCTCTGCCGTCGCGCTGCGCCGCGACCTGGTCAGCCCGTACATCGTCGTCGGCGCGATCGGCGCCTCGTTTGCGACGCAGCGGCTCAAGCGCGCCATCAACCAGGCACGGCCCGCCGGCGCCCCATTCACAGACCCAGGCATGCCATCCTCGCACGCGCTCGTCGCCAGCTTCGCGGCCGCGGCGTGGGCCTCCCACCTCCGCTCGGCGGGCGCGACCGCCGTGCTCGCCGCCGCCGCCGCCGCCACCTCGCTGCTTCGGGTCGTGACTGGCTACCACACGTGGGCGCAGATCCTGGTCGGAGGCGTGCTCGGCAGCGCGGCCGGCGGCGGGTGGCTGGCGCTGGGTGGCTGGCTGAGGGGCCGCCTCCCGGCTCGATTGCTGGCGGTGGCGGTGTGGTCTGCGTATGCCGGCGGCTCGGCGCGTGTAGAGTCCGCCGTTGGCCGAGCGCCAGGGTGCGAGGACTGCCCTTTACAGCGGGCCTCTTGCGAGTAGGCGCTCTTCATCGGGGTGAAGATGGCGCGCTGGGTGGGCGGAGACCTCGACGAGGGTAGGATGGAGGAGGAGGGGCCGCCGGGCAGCGCGCGAGACGACTGATATATACAGTCTGCATGCCATTGGAGTAGGGTTGCCTAACGTTAATTTGGGGCCTAACAGTTGCGCTATTGTTGGCTGAAATCCTCAACGTTGTTCAAGTGTTCATCCCAGCCCATGCTGTTACTGTTTGTTACTGTTGTTACACTGTTGTTCAGCGCGGCCACAGCAAGAGCAGAAAATGTGGCAAAAAAACCGGGTACGAAAATATACTTGGGGGTTTCCGGGTATTTTCGGGTATTCCCGTAACCCGATACCAATCGTCTGGCCAACTGGGTGCGCTTCTTAGCTCTCCCCGGTCCTGGGCGTGCGGTTACTGACTGTAACTTGCGGGATGTTACTGAGCGAGGCTACAGCGTAGAGCACACACACGTCGTACGAGGATCAGGATGCCTAGCCGTGGTGGCCATGCTTGGACTCGCGCAAGCCGCAACCCCCCCTCTGCGGTGCTAAGGAGGGGCACGCCCCGACACGACGCCACAGATCAAAACAGAGCAGCCGAGCAAGGTCCAAGGACATGGGACTAATAGCGCGGGGGGTGGCGGGTGGGAGAAACCCGCGGCGCCTCTGGGCGCTGCCCGGGGCGAGGCGCAGTAGCGCCCCGCCCGGACTCGCTTCGCCGTTTTTGGCGAGCAAAGAACGAACGTCCAATTTTGACCGTCGGCGGTATACGAAAATTTGTCGACCGGCCAATTGCTGCGAGACGCCCGTGAATACGTTGCTGAACTCTGCGCGGGGTGGACATCGCGAGAAAAAGAATTCCCGACTCGCACAGCACTAGAAAAAGAAAACCCCACTAGCGACCGGAACGCAACACAACAAGGAGGGAAAACGCTCCCACTATCTGTTTGGAACCTCCCCCGCCCTGCCTCGAGGCGCCCTCCTCGAGCGGACCCCACCAGAAGCGAATGCCGCTCACGCCGGCGGGGTGAGTAGAGCACGAGCGGCGCGGCGTCGGGGGCGACGAGCGCGCCCGGCAGGCCTGGCACCGCATCCAGCATGCTGCTGCGCCAGCCCGTGAGTCTCGCGCCCTGCAGCGGCCACGGGTCGTGCGTGATGCGGCCCACCCACAGGCCGGCCTCCCGCGGCATCACGGCGGAGCCGGAGCAGCCGAGCCCCCGCCTCGTTGTCTCGCTCGACCAGGAGCCGGGGGCTCTGCCGGTTTGGCAGGGCCGTCGCAGATTCCTCACGAGTATCGTCTGGATCGAGACGACTCCGAATCACTCTTCGCCGCGCGCCTCGACCTTCTTGGGCAGCAGCTGGATCTGCTCGTCGCCGTGGCCCAGCTGTCCATCATCTCCAAGCCCCCAGCTCCAGACAGCGCCGTCGGTGGCGAGGGCGAGGCTGTGGGCGCCTCCAGCCGACACAGCGACGACGCGCTGGCCAGCAAAGGCCTCGACCTTCTTCGGCAGCAGCTGGTCTTGCATGTCGTTGTGGCCCAGCCTGCCAAAGGATCCATAGCCCCAGCTCCAGACGGCGCCGTCGGCGGCGAGGGCGAGGCTGTGGCTGCTTCCCGCCGACACGGCGACGACGCGCTGCGCCAACACCTCGACCTTCTTGGGCAGCAGCTGGTGCTGCTGGTCGCCGTGGCCCAGCTTGCCAAGGACTCCATCGCCCCAGCTCCAGACGCTGACGTCTGCGGTGATGGCGAGGCTGTGCCCCCACCCAGCCGACACAGCGACGACGCACCGCCCTGCAAAGGCCTCGACCTTCTTCGGCAGCAGCTGGTTCTGCTCGTTATTGTGGCCCAAACGGCCAAAGCGTCCATAGCCCCAGCTCCAGACGGCGCCGTCGGCGGTGAGGGCGAGGCTGTGTTCGCGTCCAGCCGACACGGCGACGACGCGCCGCCCAGCTAAGGCCTCGGTCTTCTTCGGCAGCAGCTGGTCCTGCCTGTCGCCGTGGCCCAGCTTGCCGTAGTCTCCATCGCCCCAGCTCCAAACTGAGCCATCGGCGGTGAGGGCGAGGTTGTGGTACGATCCAGCCGACACAGCGACGACGTGCTGACTCGCCAAGGCCTCGACCTTCGTCGGCCGCAGCTGGTTCTGCTCGTCGCCGTGGCCCAGCTTGCCGAATTCTCCATAGCCCCAGCTCCAGACGGCGCCGCCGGCGGTGAGGGCGAGGCTGTGCTGCTGTGCTGCTGACACAGCGACGACGCGCTCACCCAGCGAAGAGGGGAGGAGGGACGGTGTGTTGAGCTGCGCCACGCGCTCGCCGTGGCCAAGGAGGCCTGGCCCCCCCTCGCCGCCGCACGACGAGAGCCGCCCCTCGCCGTCGATGAAGACGCTGTGGTAGGAGCCTGCCGCCGCCCTTGCCGGCGGGTTGGACTCGCGCAGCAGCGCAGAATAGCACAGCCACCGCACGGCGCAGCTCTCGCCCTCTGGCTGCGCCGGCAGCTCGAAGCCGCGCTCCTGCGCCCACAAGCGGATGCCCTCCAGCGCAAGCGAGGCGTGGAAGAGCAGCGAGACGGCCGCGACGCGAGCGATGTCGGCGGGGCGGTCGCAGCGGGAGATGACGCGCGCGAGAAGCTCAAGGGGCAGGTCGAGGAGGCGGGCGGGCGGCGGCGTGTCTGGCGAGGGAGCGGTGGCGGCGGCGGCGAGGCGGCGCGAGCGGCGGCGCGGCGGGGTGGACATCGCGAGAAAAAGAATTCCCGACTCGCACAGCACTAGAAAAAGAAAAGCAGACTCGCGACCGGAACGCAACACAACAAGGAGGGAAAACGCTCCCACTATCTGTTTGGAACCTCCCCCGCCCTGCCTCGAGGCGCCCTCCTCGAGCGGACCCCACCAGAAGCGAATGCCGCTCACGCCGGCGGGGTGAGTAGAGCACGAGCGGCGCGGCGTCGGGGGCGACGAGCGCGCCCGGCAGGCCTGGCACCGCATCCATGCTGCTGCGCCAGCCCGTGAGTCTCGCGCCCTGCAGCGGCCACGGGTCGTGCGTGATGCGGCCCACCCACAGGCCGGCCTCCCGCGGCATCACGGCGGAGCCGGAGCAGCCGAGCCCCCGCCTCGTTGTCTCGCTCGACCAGGAGCCGGGGGCTCTGCCGGTTTGGCAGGGCCGTCGCAGATTCCTCACGAGTATCGTCTGGATCGAGACGACTCCGAATCACTCTTCGCCGCGCGCCTCGACCTTCTTGGGCAGCAGCTGGATCTGCTCGTCGCCGTGGCCCAGCTGTCCATCATCTCCAAGCCCCCAGCTCCAGACAGCGCCGTCGGTGGCGAGGGCGAGGCTGTGGGCGCCTCCAGCCGACACAGCGACGACGCGCTGGCCAGCAAAGGCCTCGACCTTCTTCGGCAGCAGCTGGTCTTGCATGTCGTTGTGGCCCAGCCCCGCCCTCCGCCTCGCCCTCGCCGCCGCCTCCCTCCTCTTCGCCCTCTCCTCCGCTACCGTCGCTTTCCCCCTCGCTGCCGCCTTCCTCGGCTTCGCCCTCGCCGCCGCCTTCCTCCGCCTCGCCCTCGCCGCCGCCACCGTCGGCCTCGCCCTCGCCGCCGCCCCCCTCCGCCTCGCCGCCCGCAGCATCGTCGCCCTCCATGTCACCCTCGCCTCCGCCTCAAACCCTTGCTTCCACCGCCCGCGCCCCCACCAGCAGCTCCGCCGCCTCCGCCGCCTCCGAACCCTCCACCACCGCCTCCGTCCACACTCAGGCGTCTGCTTAGCTCAGTCCTTCGCGTCGACCTCGCCGGCGGCAACGCAAGAGCGCAGCATCCTCATCGCGCTCGCGGCGAGTGGGGCGCTGCTGGCCGTGGTGGTGCCTTGCGTTCTCATGCGCTGGTTCAAGCGACAGCTCCACCGTGCTGAGGCGCAGCGCCAGGACGAGCAGCAGTCGACACTCAGGCGTCTGCTTAAAGCTCAGTCCTTCGCGTCCGACGCGCGCAAGAGAGCGCCACCCACCGTCCCTGCGGCCCCGAGGCCACGGCAGCACAACGTTGGCTCGGCAGACGCGAGACAGAGGTTGATCTCACCCAGTCGCACGTCGCACTTGCACGGGCGCGGAAGCTGTCCGCGTAAACGCCCCCCCGTCCACGGTCTCCGCCTGCTCGCTCGTGCAAGGTTGCAGACAACGGCGGGCGGTTGTCTCTACTGAGGGGACGAACTAAGGGCGGCTGGGCGGGGCTGCGGCCGGAGCTAGCATGGCTCGTCAGAGCCGAGACCCCGGCGAGGCGGCGCTCCGATGGGCGGCTACCTAGCCAGTCGCGAGGTTCTAACCGCTCTGCAGATCGGCGATAAACAAACTATGCCAGCGGGAGATATTCGGCAGATATGTGTATCTCCCGATCTGTTCTCATCCCGGTGATGGACACGTGTGTGCGTCCCTTCTTGTGTTGCGTTTCGGGCGTCCCTTCGTCGACGTTGTCTCTTTAAGTTCGTTGACGTTGTGTTCTCCCCGTCCGCCAGCGAGACGCTCAGTTGCTGGCGGCCGCAGGAGGTCTTTCTCGTTTCTGTGACCCACCCACCTCTCCCTTGTGTTTTGTCTGGGGAGGGGTTTCTCCCTGCGGAGTCGTGCGTGCGCGGGGCTCCTCTTTGCGAATACTCCCTACATATTGCAATACATCTCGTCGTACCCGTTCTATATCTCTAAACACAAAAAAGTACTAGGTAACGGCGAAGTGTATACCAAACTACCAGAGAAGAGAGAACGATTGGACCCCCCCCGACCGCACTTAGAATACAGATAAGAGATATCTCAGTGTGTGTCAAAGCCTCTTAACTGGATGGTGGAGCGAGCGAGATAGAGATTGTTTCATCGGGTGTGTATCACGTTGGAAGGATGAGCTCCACAATTCTACCACAGCCACAACAGACTGCAGCGGCGACAGCCGGACTAGACCACACGGAGGAGCGCAGAGCTCACGCCTTGCGCCGGGCGGACTTGCCGCCGCCCTTGGCCTTGCCGGAAGGAGGCTTGGCGCTCGCGGCGGCGGCTTCGAGCGACGCGCGCTTGGCGCGCAGCGCGTCCGCGGCCACCGCCTTCTTCTGGATGCCGTGCTGCATCCGGTCGTAGAGCCGCCGCTTCTTGCGCGACATCATCATCTTCGCGAGCTCCTGTTCAGGGGGGGGGGGGGGGGGGTGAAGAGGCGCCGGTCGCACCATGCCGCCACGCACGCATCCTCTCTGCGCGCCTTCTCTTCGGCAGCGCGCGCCGCTGCCGCCTCCTCAGCGCCTCCTCCTCCTCCTCCCCCGCCGCCCGCCGCCGCCCGCCGCTTGGCCGCCTTGAGCTCGGAGTAAGGCACACCCTCGGCCTCGGCGCGCACCTGGCGTGACACGAGTGCGGGCGTGACACGAGTGCGGAGGGGTGTGGGGGCACATCGCCTAGCTCGGACACACGCAGCCACAGCAGCAGAGGCGGCGCAGCCTCGGCCTCTCCTCTGCTGGCATCTCGGCCCTATCTCGGCCCTATCTCGGCCCTATCTCGGCCCTGTCTCGGCCCTGTCTCAGCCCTGTCTCGGCCGCACCTCCGCGGCGAAGGCGGCCGCATCCTCGTCCTCCTCCTCCTCGTCCTCCTCCTCGCCCTCCTCCTCGCCCTCGCCCTCGCTGCCCGCCTCCCCCTCGCTCTCCTCGTCGCTCTCCTCACCGCCGCCCTCGCTGCAATCCTCGCCGCCGCCGCCCTCGCCCTCCGCCTCGCCCGCCCCGCCGCTGGCGGTGAGGGCGGCGCGCACCCGCTCGAGGGGCGTGTACCCCTCGTCGCCTAAAAAAGAAAAAACCGCCCCGCTCAACAGAAACAAACCCCCGCATGATGGGGTCGTGTGCTCTTCGTCGCCGTCGAGGAAGGGCGAGAGGTGCGGCGGGCACAGCCGTCCCGGCCGGTACGGCGCCTGCGGTGTGAACACTGCGGCGTGAACACGCCAGCCTCAGGGCGGGAGTACGGCACTCGCCAGCACCGCGTGACTGCGGCGGGATACGAGTACGAGTACAGCGAGCACGGCCGAATGCGGCGGAATGCGTGCGTGTCCTCTCGAGCGCTAGTTGGAAGAGAGGAGCCCGAATGTTCTGCTTCTAGGGTGCGGCGCCGTCGGCAGCAACGCGCGCGCGTTGATGCAGTCGTACACCCACCTAGCTCAACGAGACGCGGAGGTCAGACGGGGCCGCGCAGGGGTTTCGGCACCGCAAGACTACGCGGGGCACACGGAGTACGGCCGAGCAGAGCCGGGTGCAGCCGCACCACGTGTCTGCTCGACTGCTAGCTCGACTGAAGGGGAAAGTGTCCTCGCCCCCGAGTCCAGCTGCTGGCTGGAATGCACATGAGAAGAGAGGGGGGGAGGGGGGGGGAGGGGTGTGCCGCTTCTAGGTCCGCGGTACTGCGGCTGTACGAACTCTCGCGTCTTCGGCAGCATGTCCTCCTCCGCCATGGGCCGGTCCACGATCTGGTGGGTGATGCTGCCGTCCGACCCCTATTCTTGTTTGATTGGATTTGGGTACCGGGTTTGGCAGGGTACTGGGCGCTGCTGCTGCCCGACGCCTCGAGCCGCGACGCCTCGCCGTCCCACCCGAGCGTGCCTAATCCAGCCCGTGCATCCCACTCGCCCGGTGGGGAGGTTGGTTGAGGGTGGGCCTCCGCAGGCAAGCACGACGAGGTGTCTGGGAAGTGTCTAGGAGGTGTCTAGGAGGTGTCAAGGAAGTGCCTCCGCAGGCAAGCACGACGAAGTGTCTGGGAAGTGTCTAGGAGGTGTCTAGGAGGTGTCAAGGAAGTGCCTCCGCAGGCAAGCACGACGAAGTGTCTGGGAAGTGTCTAGGAGGTGTCTAGGAGGTGTCTAGGAAGTGCCTCCGCAGGCAAGCACGACGAAGTGTCTGGGAAGTGTCTAGGAGGTGTCTAGGAGGTGTCTAGGAAGTGCCTCCGCAGGCAAGCACGACGAAGTGTCTGGGAAGTGTCTAGGAGGTGTCTAGGAGGTGTCTAGGAAGTGCCTCCGCAGGCAAGCACGACGAACTCGAGCGAGCGCAGCGGGCACTCGCGGCCGCAATACAGCACGCACGACCCAAACAGCTGCCGCAACGCCTTGGTCGCCGTCAGGGCTGAGTGTCACGCACCACGCTCCATTAAGGGTGTGCTCCGTCGCTGCCGCCCAGCGCCTTGATCTCAGGCGCCATCTCCGCGTCGAGATCCTCTTGCTCGCCGTCGCCGCCCGCCGCGGCCGCCTCCTCCGCCTCCTCCGCCGCCTCCTCCTCCGCCGCCGCGTCCGCCGCGCCGTCGGTGTCGACGCGCGACAGCTTCTTGCGAAGCGCCGCCAGCTGCTCGGCCGATGGCGGCTTGGCGCCGCGCGCCGCCGCGCCGCCGCCGCCGCCGGGCGCAGAGAGGGCGGTTGGCGGCGGCGCGAGTGGTGGTGCGGCGCCCGGAGTCCGCATCGGCCCGGCGGAGGGGAGCATCAGCATGGCGGAGAGGCGGCCGCCCTTCGCGTCGGTGGTGTCGTCGATGGGCGGCGGGTAGGCGAGGGCGGCGTCGTGGTAGAGCTTGTAGTTTGTGAGCGTCATCAGCGCCTGCGCGCTCCGGCAGCCTCGGTGCGATCTCGGTGCGATCTCGGCGCGATCTCGGCGTGATCTCGGTGTGATCTCGAGGGTGTGTTTGCGCCTCGTAGAGCTCGAGGAGGTGACTGGGAAGTGTCTTGGAGGTGACTAGGAGGTGTCTTGGAGGTGCCTGGGAGGTGTCTAGGAGGTGCCTAGGAGGTGTCTAGGAGGCGAGTAGGAGGTGTATCTTCTACGCGTTACTT